ATTTTTTTTTTTTTTTTTTGCTCAAACACCCGGCAGTGAAAGGACGTAGTTTAAATTGATGTCATCTTGGGAATATTTATAGATGAAGTATAACTACTGTATCATGAGAAAGATTTATTGCAAGGCTAAGTTATTGGCAAAGCAGTTCCACTGCAGATGGTGGCAAGAGAACAGAAAGAAACCTTGAATTTATTCACTGAGTCACAATAAACTTTACAGTATCTTGCTCTTATTTTTATTTTTTTATATTTGTCAACTTTGTGTGAATATGAATGTTCCAGCTTGCCTTAACTTGCGGATGTGACACCTGAATTTACCCACAGTGAGACAATAAAGGATATTTCTTTGCTATTCTGTTCTTTTCAATTGTATTATATTCTTGTCTTCTATTCTGTTTGGTCATTGGGATTTTATTACACTTTCATGTACTGTGCATAATAATAGAAGATAAAGAAAACTGTACATAAACATTGCATGTTTTTGTAGAATAACAGTATGAAAGAGTGTTATATATTTTATATATTTTTTAGGCACATTGTGCTACTTTGTACCACAATCAAGTTACTATTTTACCTTTTGCCAGAAGTGCAGCTTAAAAAAGTCAATCTTACAAGAATTAATCACAATGCTAACTTTAAATTTTGTTTATTCTTTAACATAAAGTTAGTTGCATATTATGTGTGGGAACATTCTGCTCCAATCTGAATAGGAACAAGCCCTCTAATTAATTCACACATTTGCTAAGAATGAGAAAGAAATGGCACCAGCACATTATTTTATGCATACTATTAATGGATTGTTGTTGACCTGTAATCAGATCTGTTCTTATAGGTTTATTGACTGAGAAAATTCGATAACAGAAGGAAAGGCATGATTATTTAGGAAATTCTGGATTTGGAGTGGAGTCCAGCAGTATCTATCTACATTTTACTGTTATTCTTGGGGTGGTGCTGTAACTGTTTTTTTTTTTTTTTTGTCATGAAAACCTACTTATTAAGATACAATATTTGTACATTTAATAAGTGCAGAAAAACTACACAAATGACTACAGCAAATCTGGATTCAGAGATTTTAGAATTTACACTTACAGATGAACACAATGTTCTCTTGTTTCTCCTAATTTGAACATTTGACATGCGATGAACTCGATAAACGTCTCTTCACATTGTCAATGTGTGGCGTACATGCTAGACTCAGGAGGGAGGTTTCCTGCACTCCCGCGTGCTTGGTGTAAGAATTAAGGACATAACCATGATCCGTCTCTAGCTTTGTTTTTAGCAGAGAAAATGCTTTCTGTAATCTACCCTCGCTGCAGCCAAGAAAATGTTTGCCTCGGGGGTTATATTCACTACCTTCTCTGACTTGGCAGCAACGGCCACAGCGTCTCCCTGAAATTGTCTTGATGGAGTGCTCTGTGGCTCGGATGTGTGAGTTCTGAGTTTCTGCATCGCTGGGGATCTGGATCACAACTTAGTAATAAAAAAGAATTAAGTCTAACTGAGACTGATGCTGCTCGAGATGAATTTTAAGCACCCGTAACTTATTTCTCATAATAATTACGCATAATAAATTTGGCATAGACAAAATCAATGTCCTGAAAAAAAAAAAAATCATCTCTGTGTTTGGTTTTATTGATGTTAACACAGCTGCCAACTGCAGTCAGCTTTCCCAGACAGAAAGGACTGAAATTATTTCCACAAAATAAAAATCTTATAGTCGAAGTTGCTTTTATGATTAGAAGGCAGTGACGCCAGCAGCTGAGAGGATTCATTTTCCTCTGTCTGCTCCTTCCAACACTTAAAAAAAATCATTCTGCTTTGCTTTCAGGGTTACCATTAGATTTAATTGGAGCTGACATTAGAAAGATTCAGGTGATGTGTCACATAAAACTCACACGATAGCAGGTTATTTCCAGCACGTCTTGTGAACTAAGATGGGATTTTCTGCATGTGATGTTTCTACCTGCTAATCACAGACTTGTCATCGGGGACAAAAGCTACTCTAGATTGTAATGGAGCACCCCACGCTAACGCAGTCTAACTGTTCGTACTTGTGTGGAGGCTTGTTTGTGTGAACGCCGACAGATTAATGGATGCAGAATCTAAAAATATTGCATACAGCCCACTTTCTTTCATGCCTCTAACCAAAAGAGATTTGTAATAGGTAGAGAATACACAGATCGGAGATTTGAAGCTGATTTCAGATATCCACTGTTTGTAAGGTTTTGAACTATTTTAGTCATTTACAATTTTTTTGAAAGATGAAATATATATATATATATAGATATAGATATAGAGATAGATAGATAGATAGATAGATAGATAGATAGATAGATAGATAGATAGATAGATAGATAGATAGATAGATAGATAGATAGATATAGTATTTATTTTTATTACATAAAATCTTTCTTGAGAGTCATGGAAGGATTTTAAAGAGGATTTTGGAAAGAATGTGAATAATGCGTATTTTGCATGTTGTATTTTATGTTTACTGGAGCAAAAATTAGCAAAAATGCTAAAAGGTTAACATCACAAATGCATCTTCTCTTTCATTATTATTCTCTGCTTACATGTGCCATGTTGCTGCTAAAACAAACTGCCTCTGCTCTGTGGTAACTGAAGGTGCATGTATCCTGTAAGCAGATGAGAAGTGCTTATTGATCAGGGCTCCTCATATGCTGTCGACCCACTCGACCATTTTAATTTGAGCTGCTGAATGATTCTCACACTCGGTCTAAAACCATTAGTCAAATCTGTCTGGTTTCTGTTAGCATTTAGCAAAGATAACATTGAAGCACCAGAAAGGATTTGTGCTTTGGTCAACAAACCATGTCAAACTGGTTGTTTCGCCATGGAGACACCATGGAGACAGACCCCCAAACTTCTATCACATCATGACAATGCTGCTAACTACGATTCCCAAGTGCATAATATAATCTATTTGACGGATGGCAAAATAAATGGCAAGTGACAAAGTGTTGTGAATCTGTGTTATGCTGCGACAGATGGGTTACATCCTCAGCAATTACTGACAGTGCTGCTGTTAAACGTACAAAATTGGCTCAATAATTTACTTGAGATAAGAATTAATTGTCTTGCACCTTACTCCCCCTGGAGTCTCCAAAGATAGTGCGGCAGATGGATCCTGCAATGGCTTCATTTGATTTGAGTTTTTCATTTCAAACTCTGGGACAAGCTAACATTAATATTGTTCCAGTTTTACGTAATTTTTAGCCAATTTTGTCCAGTTCTTTATGAAGCCAATTATTTCATCCATTGACTATCAGCTTTAGAATTGAGAACTAAATTGCAATGGTTGTGGCATCCCTCCAAACCTCTGTGAAGCTCAGAGAATCTGCTAAATAAAATAGTTGATGGCAACTTGATACAACCACCCAGTTCTGTTTCCCTCGCTTTCTTACCATGTGTGTGAAGTATTTGGAAAGAAGCCACAGTAAAGCCCCTTGGCCAGCAGAATCTTGACATGGTGGGACAGAAAGACAGGGAGCTCTTCCCCTCTTTGTCAGTGATTAATCGGCTCACTTTAAGGGATACATGCAAGTCATACTCAAACTATCCATGCTTTGTAAGCCTTGCTTTAAGGATGAGTCGGGTTCCTGAAAAAAAATGACGTATTTGCTCAGTGCTATCAGTAATTGGCTTAGATTAGACATGGGATTCATACCTTGCTATTTTTGGATGCTTTGAAACTTTTTCCACACTGTTGAGCCAATGAAGATGCACTGTTTAGACTTTTTAAGGCCAATGACATCTTCTGTTTTTCTCTGAAGCCTGACCTGCTGATTGTAATAGATAGATGGAACATCACAAACTCTATAAATGAACATGTTATTGTAAATGGCCTGTACTTGTACATTGAAGCTACAGCTGCCCTGGGTCAAAACTTCTAATAAAAAATTAAAATAAATAAAGCTAAAGTAATAAGAAATTACATATCAAGTATTTTGGACATCTCCTGATAGCTTGGTCTGTTGTTTTTAGGATTGCTTACCCACTTCGATGGAGACAGACTGAAGTGACAGACTTTTATTCCCACAATTCAAATCAATTAAATCTGTTATTCCATTCAATGTTGCCAAATAACCAACAGAAATTATGTCATATATTTGTGTAAACCTAGCGTGCTAATAAAACAAGAAAACTTAGCAAACATTGACTTTGTCAGAATGAAATGTGCAGGTTCTTTACAAATTCAACATAGATTATCCTCATTTATTATTACTGCCTCTAATAACATGTTTGTGTTGATGAGTTGGATTATTTGCTGATTTATTGGTGCACTACTATTAAGATCTTCGCAGAGACAGTGGGCTGTAGCTAGCTGATGATCTGTTCATGTTTATTGTAGCTTCCAAAGAATGGCCACACAGATGAGTCTCAGACTGAACTCGGTATTCAGTGGCTTTGGACAATTAAAAAAAAAAAAAAACAAGCTGGTTCATAATAATGATAATAATGATAATAATAAAAAAATGTGTCAAAATAAAAACACTTTTGGTTATTTTTATTCAGAAATTCAAAATTCTTTCTCATTAGCCAACGATGTTGTGCTTTGCTCAGTATTTATAATTTACTGTGTACCTTGGAACATGTGTACAATTCAGCTTTCAAAGAAAAGCATTTGAATCTATTATAAAGATGTTAAAAGCTCAAGTTTTAACTTTGACTTAACAATTTGGAAAGTTAACCTTCAGCGTACTGGATCGTAAACAGACAGCATGTATCCAGTGTATGAATGGAGATTTTAGGCTTCAAGTCCAAGTTGTACATCAAGAGAAAATAATTAATTTTGTTTAGTGAGCAGAAAATTACTATTCGTGCAGACCCACAGCTGTGCATGGTTTGACGATGCCATCACACTGGAAGAGAGTCTCAGAAGTAATGAAATACCACAGAGGTCCTGGGATCAATCTTCATTAGCATAGTCATAATCACTCGGATTGATTCTCCAGCAAAAACAATTATCATACCTGAAGAATGAGTCGATTTGTCCAGTACAAACTGAAGACGCAAGTGCCCAGAGGGGAGAGTTTGCACCTTCAGAGGTGGATCATGGTCCGCAAAAGGTCTGACAACGGGTACAGCATCTATAGGGGCTCTTTGCTCAGCTTCCAGAATCTGATGAGTACACAATCGATTACATTCCCAGAGGTGGCAGATGGACCATCGGTGTGATGCAGTTTATTTTCTTTCTTTTCCCTCATCCTGGCAGAGGAGGACGCAGGGAAGACGATGCGAGAAGTGAATTGTAAAGGTGACCACTGCGCTGCCACTAATGACAGGACGCTTATAGAGGAATTAGTGCTGCTGTCGAGCTCGTCTTTGAAGAGGAAGGAGAGGAATGACACCCTGCCATTTGAAGATTCGTGACTAGAGATGACAGGTGGTTGAAAAGGTTGTGAAGAGACACTTGAGAGGGCTCTTAACACAGCGACTCCTGCGTGTTTTTCCCTTTCCAGATCACTACACTTCCTCTTAACACTTTTTAAGAAGCTGAGGGATAGTAGTACTAACAGCATCATGAAGACGGCGTATGGTGATGGTGGCTAAATCAGATCTCCTCCTTATCCAGTGCATGTGGAAATGTTTAATTCTCATGTTATTCTTAATTCTTTAATTCTGACACTCTGAAATGAAAGTGGGATGAATTTTAGGGTGTAAATAAACAGTTTTGTGCTTTTCTTCTGCAAGGACAGCCCTGGCGCTCTCCTTAGCTGTTCTAATCTAAACTACAGAGCTTATATCAGAGGATATGTATTTGGTATAATTTTGTAGTCACAGTACAGATGCACACAATGTCTTTTAGGTTTTACTTTAAAAAATCATTTTGGGAACCATTTTCCTTCCATGTCACAATTGTCTCCTAATATGATTACATTACAATTTGTGGTTGCAACATGACAAAATTCACAATTTTGCAAGGGACTTTTTCAAACAGAATGTCTGAGCCGCCTCTCCGCTGTTTGAGATATCTGTGTTTTACAAAACGCTCAAGAGTAAAAGAGTAAAGTATTAAGGGAAGTCATCAGATTGTTGTGTAAAACTAAGCCACGTGACTTAAAAAAAAACAACAAAAAAAAAACAATCTCCCTCTCTGTGTCCATCTGTCTTCTGCCTCATATTTTAAATCTCAACGTAACCCAGCTCTCCGTGCAAAGCAGTCTCTGCTGCGGTGCAGTAGGTGGAGAGGAAGTGCAGCGGCTAAAGTGGTCATGGACAATTAAGGCACGGCGCACACAACCTAATCATCTGAGAACATTTCCATTCCATCTAAGCCAATCAGGTCTCATGACCAGCCTGTCCCCGACCTGACTGTGACTTTTCCCTCTCACCGTGAGAGGAACATTTCAGAGACGGAGTGGGAAAGAGACTTTAATCTCTGAGTTACGTCTTTATTGGAGAAAAGTAAGCATGATGAATTAATTTAGGGTGATCCCTGGGTTCTAGATTAAGCAGTTAGTGGGAAACACAACGGAGCTGCATAGAGATCAAAAAGTTGTTTTACTCTTTGAACTCCTGGCAAGAGAATAACGCCACAGATTATGAAGTTCAATCAAATATCTAATATCTTCCTCCGTCTCCTCTCTAGTTCAGCCCTCATCCTGCAGGTCACCCTCAGGCCAAGTGACTTTGCTGGTCTCGTTTTTTTTTTTTTTTAATCCACCATGCACGCCATTTGATGCTATTCTTAACGCTGCAGCACATGCAAATCAAGGGATGGAGGGGTGGGAAGGAGACTGAGTAATTGATCCTCTTAACGACTCCCACTCAGTTACAGCACAGGTTAATGCAAGTCACCTCAGGACTGTTCATCCCCACGCTCCAGCGGCAATTGGCATATCGGCGAGGAAAAAGGGGTGCATGTCTGTGACAGATGAGTCCCTATAGGCGGCCCACACCTGGTCATACTGCGCTTTTAAGTGTCCCCTGTGAAGCTTTTATTAGTAGAGATCATAAAGGCAAGCTGGTCTCTTGGAAATGAGCGCTTTAATATACTGCAAATCGTGTTGTACATTATGTGAAAAAATCTGCATTGTGAGCATGTATGATTTTACCCAGAATGTTTCCTGCTTGTGTTGTTTTTTTTTTTGTTTGTTTTTTTTCCCCTCCGTATTTAGAAACACCCGTGAAGGCCATCTGAGTAACTTGGCAACCAGACGTGAGCTCATAACGAGCTTGCCAAAAAGTTTCAGGGGGATGTGGACGTGATCTGTGTCCTTACCATGACTCCACAATTTTTTATTTTTTTTCTTCAGCTCTGTGCCAGTGCTGCCTGGTTTGTCTCTCTTAGCTGCTAATTGGTTTAACCTAATCAGGACCAGCGTTTCGTGATAACACTTCCTCTGCTGAGCCATCATCCTGGCTTTTCTACACAGTGCCTTGCGAAAGCTATTCGTACGCCTGAACTTAATGCAGCCAGAAATCTTGTGATGTTTTCTGACTCTGCAAAAAGAGGCAGAACATTTCTCTCAAAATCCTGGCAACTATCTATGCAAAATAATAGAGTTAAACACTTAATATTTAGACAGATTTATTTGGCCGTGGAATGCTTTTACATTTCTATTATTGCTGAATGATATTTAGTGGCACCCAAATCAAGGTGGTTGAATATACATATTGAAGTTAATTTATGGTTTTTAAACTTTGTAAATCTGTATGCCATTTTTTTTTATATATCATTTTCACACTTAGGGGGCTCCTATGGTTTTGATCGATCCCATAAATACTCCAGTGAAATAAAGCTAAAGACTGCGGTTGTCATGCGGTAACATGTCTAAAAAGATTAAGGTATACGAGTACTTTTTTAAGTCATTGAATTTTTTATTCTTTACTTCGTTGGAGAGAAGAAATTTACCATTTCACTGGATAATTGATAGGTCTTAGAAATGTCTGGTTCTGAAACGTCCTAAAATCCTTAAGCTTCCACTTATATTAGAATTTAATAGTAGCTAATTTAATGAATTCTCAAAGGAGATTATGTGATTGTCTCAAGAGTTCTGAGCATAAATTTATGTAGGATCATCTGTGTGTTCTGCAGCTAAATGTGGTTTGTGATTTGTATTCAGGGTGACATGACGGAGGCTCTTCAGTCTCTCTCCATTAGACTTTAATAGGTTTTATATTGCACAGGTCACAGAGGACTTTGCACAAAAGCATGCAAATTTTTCCATGTGGTGGATTTTAGTAGAAGTTATACTGCAGCACTTCCCTTACTGTCGGATGGAAACTATTCACCTTTGGGGGTCGGGACGGAGGGACAGGCAGAGATGAGTTAAGAGAAAAACGGACGTCAACTAAACCCTGTGGTTTGGCAAGTAGTCGGGTATAAAGCAGAGCTCTAGATGAAAAATTCAGCTCGTCTCATATGATGCGACATTCAAAAGCAATCCTCCTCCCATCGCTTGATTGCTCATTTTATATATCTCAAGCACTAGACAAGACATCTGAGGCCAGCTTTAATCAACCGCTGTCAATAAATCCCGGTATAGATAAGTGCTGCCACTTAATCTCGCCCCATGCTGACCTCTAGGCCTGGTGTTCTTAGCTCTTACAACTGAGGCCACAATGACAAATGGTTGTCTGATAAATGATTTCAGATGTGAAGTGTGCAGTTTCTTTTTTAAAATTGAAACAAGAAACATTGCTGTGACCGGCAGGAGTTTAAAAGATTACTGTTGGTTTATTCTACCGTCTCAAACAGAATTTCTTTGGATAGACGTAGAAATGATAACATTGCCCACTGTCAAAGTAGGGTGACTGGAAAGTTGCTTTAGTGGATATGAACTTGCACTGTCTATTTCTTGGCCATGCACTGACTATGCAGCAGTTTGCACTCAACAGGATGACATTTTATTCATTATTTGACCATTTCAAAGTGTCTTTTAATATTTATCTTACAGTCTCCTGTAAGGAATTGTGCTTATGTGCAGGAAGGCATTTTCATTTAATCATGAGTCATAATTTGTCACATTTTATAATCAGCAGTGGGCACACAGGTGAATCAGAACCAACATAAATAAATCAAAATAGACTAACACAGACTTATCAGATACAATTAAAACTTTTAGGGCGATAGGGTGAGATTTTTGTATGTATAATGGGTTTTTCATCTGTATTCTGGAACGCCTCCAAGGTGTCTTTCAAGCAAAGACACGCTCCATTACATTCAAATCATTCACTCTTAAGACGTTCAAGCTTTCTTTATGCAGCTTTTTCTCCCCGTCTATTAATGCAAAGCAGATTCATCTGATTATGAATGCTATTGTGATCTGCCAACTGAGTCATAAAGTGTTGACTGTGAGAGATAAAGTCAAACACTGCAGAGCTATTTTGACTGATTAACAGATTAACTGAGTTTGATGTGTTTATTGCTTTAATCTTCTTTATTGTATCCTCTTTTTGTAAGAATGTGGCGATTGGACTTATTTACATTTCATCTTGTTTTCCTCTCTCATTTCAGATTCTCGCTATAATATCAATCCTCTTTATCGTCCTGTCCACCATCGCCTTGTCTCTCAACACCTTACCAGAGCTCCAGGTCACGGACGAGTTTGGTCAAGCCAATGACAACCCTCAGCTGGCCCATGTGGAGGCTGTTTGCATCGCGTGGTTCACCATGGAGTACCTCCTACGCTTCCTGTCCTCTCCGAACAAGTGGAAGTTTTTTAAAGGCCCACTGAATGTCATTGATCTGCTGGCCATCCTACCCTACTATGTCACCATCTTCCTAACAGAATCCAACAAGAGTGTGCTACAGTTCCAAAATGTGCGCCGTGTAGTACAAATATTCAGAATCATGAGAATATTGAGAATCTTGAAGTTGGCCAGACACTCTACGGGGCTCCAGTCTCTAGGGTTCACTTTGAGAAGGAGCTATAATGAGCTGGGCTTGCTCATATTATTTCTTGCCATGGGCATCATGATATTTTCCAGTTTGGTGTTCTTTGCTGAGAAAGATGAAGATGCCACCAAATTCACAAGTATTCCTGCCTCGTTCTGGTGGGCCACCATTACAATGACTACTGTGGGCTACGGGGATATTTACCCACAGACTTTACTTGGAAAGATCGTCGGTGGACTCTGCTGTATTGCAGGGGTGCTAGTCATTGCCCTACCAATCCCTATCATTGTCAACAACTTCTCAGAATTTTATAAGGAGCAGAAGAGGCAAGAGAAAGCCATCAAGAGGAGGGAGGCATTGGAGAGAGCCAAGAGAAACGGCAGCATCGTATCAATGAACCTAAAAGATGCCTTTGCTCGTAGTATGGAAATATTGGATGTGGTGGTAGAGAAAGGTGAGGACAAAACTTCCCTGGACAATCACCTTACACCAAACCGTTTGGGTAGCTCCACCAGGCACGCTACTTCCGAGAGCAGTCTCCGATCTCCAGACAAACGAAACCCAGAGTTAGGATCTCAAAGCTCACCCCATGGTATAACCATCGCCACCACTGGAAGTCAGCATCGGATAAGCAGGACCCCACAGCACCTGAGCGTTCAGAAACTGGAGGAAATGTACAACCAGATGACCAAGTCTCAATCCTTCACGAATCTGAACACCACAAGTTCTATGAGCACTCTGAGCACAACTATGACTGTCCCTGGATCTCCAAAGAAATCTCTCAGCCCTGACTCTACGTTAAAGGAAGAGGTGCTACTTGAAATGAGGGAAGTCAGGGATTCTTTGAAAGACAATGTAGCCAGCTGTCCAGCAGAGTGCATAAACCAGGGTTTCAACCAGGCTGGTGATGATGATGGGTTATATGAGATCAGACACCCCACAATTCCACCGCTTTTGAATTTTAGCCACTTGAGGTGTACTGGTAATGACTTCTATGAATCTCACAACCCATGCGACGGATCAGATTTACATACAGAGGAAGGAAAACGCTTCAACAGTGCTGTGGAGATAACCCAAAGCTCTCTGTCTGAAAATAATCCTCCAAAAATAAAAGGGTTGAAGAGTAACTTCAACAAATCCTCCAATGATGGTCCTATTACTCCGCCTAGCACCACCTCTCCTGGGGACATTAGCTCAAGTGTCCTGGGAGACGAGTCCCCAACGGGAGAGACATCACCACTTATTCCCAGTTCGGAAGAGCTTATCCCAGTCACATTAGAGGGCCCCTGCAGCTTCTCCCCTAAGAAACTATTGGTAGACACCCCACCTGGTGATGAAGATCAGTCCACAGACAACCACGAGGAGAAGCAACTCATGGAGGAGGCTGGCGCTGCAGTTGCACCCTTGTCCCCCAAAACAGCAGCACAAAATTGCTCCCAAGGCAACAATCCAGGTGGACACAAAGTAGAGAATCACATATTTACATCATCTGACATCCACCTTATACCTGGAGATGGCAGCCTCTCTCCAACCTGTGAAACAAGCATGTGAGCAGCAGGGAAAGCTAGACCTAAAACAACCTCAGCCCTGGCATGTGGGACAGCAGCAGAAAAAGGCTTGGTGCAGTCTGACAGAAAGATACCTTTGCATGGCATGACAAGTTTTCTTTTACTTGTGTTATTGTGTATTGCTGAATCAGAAACTGCAGTTCTTGGTGCAGTTTTGAGAGTGACGCTGGAGTAAACAGTGAGCTCAAAGAGACATAAAAGAGGCTCTAGAGGTACGGGGAATTTGTCGTCTAATGCAGACACAAGTTCTCCCAATGTAAAAAAAAAAAAATCCTCTTTTTTTGCAAGGGAAATGCACAGACAGACTTATCTGTACAAAGCATGCATTTAAACAAAGACGGATATTTTATGGTGCTTAGTTTGCTGAAAGCACTCCACTGTAAATACAACAACATGCAAGGCAATGACAATGCACAGGACAGCAAAGGACAGAAGGTACAAACAATTTGTAATGTGAAAAAGGATGAGGTGAATTGAATCAACAGCCATGAGAGTGGGTGTTGGCATTGTAGCGATCTATATTTAAAAAAACAAAACAAACAAAAAAAATAAAAACATATCATTACCTGATGTGGAAATGCAAAGTGTTCCCATGATGAACCCTGTAATGTTTTTCTTTTTTCTTTTCTCTTAGTGCAAATGATGTTTCAACCTGTAATACTGACATTATTGCTTTGGGTTTTCATAGCACCTTTTCAACTTTTAGTTTTGTAATCATCCAGATATCCAGTCTCTACATTCAAAACACCTCTATTCACTTAAAGCACATAACACCTACCTATACTGCAGATGCCAAATAATGTATATAACCAGTAAAACTGGAAACACAGAAAATATTTTTAATGCAGGATCATCAGTAGGGGACCAGCTTTAGATTCTTTCCTAATCACTTCTAAGAATTTTATTCACTCTCTGACAACAGATTATATATATCTTTAAGTAGACTTAAGAAACAATAGAATATAAATTTTGTAGGATTAGATGTCACAAAATAAAAAAAAGTTCATATGAGAATATTTCAGAAAAAAATTCAATAATACAGATAAATGCTTAAATATTAATGGCGATGCATTATAAAATTGGCTGTTGACTGAAACCCCATTATTTTTAACTTTTAAATCTCTTTTGAGTAGCGAATACCTCATACCAAATGCTACTATGATCAAGGAAAAGAACACTATTTGGTGTTAAAGCTGTAATTGGAAAATACTCAGTTACTTGAGACTGAAGTCAAAGAAAGCAAATAGATGAAGGAAGCTCTTTTAAAAAAAAAACGGTATTCTCTGTGATTTGTCCAGAGATGGCGACAATTCATTTAGGCTGCTGCAAGGGAGTGAGAGAGAGTTAAACTTCAGCAGATAACAGAAAGAATGAGCAGAGTACATGGGGTGCTCTGTTTTTTGGTTGATCTTTCATGAAACAATTGATTTAGAAAAGTTGGCAGTTTTTCACAACTAAAAATCTTCATTACCCAGGGAATACACACAGAATATGGTGTTTTATAAATGCTAACTGCATTAGTCGCTAATCTAAAGACAACCTAAAATGTCATTTCCACAATCCGTTTGGCTTTGCTTTAAAATAATTGTAAAACCCTGCTTTGTTGTGACTGCTCTCTCACATAGGAGTGTGCTGTTGCCCCTGCTTCAAAAATAAAATAAAAATTAAAAAAACAATGACTGACAGAAGGAAAGCTAGAAAAGTATATTTTAACTGCTGTTCTTATATCATATTATAATCTAGATCTTATAGAGAAATCAGAATCAGCTAAAATTGGTGTATGGGCAGGTCAAAAACCAGAGTTTGGAAGTTGACAACATATTTCCGAGGATTGCATCACTAAATATTAGCATTTATGCCAATTTTGTAGGATATTGACTATAACATAAAGCAACAGTATTCTTCCTAATACAAATGGACCAAATTAAGCACACTTACATGCTTTTATCTATCTCAGCTGCATCATATCATCTATTAAAACATCTAACTAGAGTTGTATTTGTTGCTTATGGTTCGTTTATCTGCATTGAGCACATTGTCTTACCTCCCCTCCATCCTAATGTCTCCTGCAACTTTACCCGATCTAGCTGATCGGTTTATGCCATTTTTTTCTCCTCATTATTTATTTGTGGTGTTTTAGACTGTAATTTATTATATTTTTCAGTCAAACTTAAACCCAATGGAGTTCTTCTTTCACGATTGTTTTACACTGACTGAAAATATCTGTTGATGTTGCCTTTGATTGCTTTTTTTTTTTTTTTTTTGCTAGTAACGTATACATTGTCTCGATGTGTCTGTATGAGTGAGTGTGAGCCGCACAAATCTGAATTGCAGTGAGAGGAAGGACATGGGTGAGTTGTTAGTTTTATTTTTATTTTTTTTCTTTCCTATTTATGATCACCATTTCTTTGTTTTTGTTTTGGGTTTTTTCACAGAAAGTTGTGGAATGTGCAATACCGCATACTGCAATCTATGCAGGCCAAGAATTGTGGCACTTTATTTTCTGTCAATGGGAATTTGTAAGTGTACAGGCAGAAATGACCTGTGTTTTTCAAATGTTTTATCTTTAATATGGTGGTGAAACACTGCTGCAGCTACCAGAATCTATCAAAACAATGCAAATGGGAATTAACGTTTTGATTTTATATTATACACATAAATTGCTGTCACAAGCACCTTAATGCCAGGTATCAACGCACCTCAAATTTGAATATTTGTGGGTAGATGGATCCAAATTGACCACCAGGGCCTTTTATATAGCTGTTCAAATAACCTGATCTAATTTTAGTCGCCACAAGCAGTATTTTGTGTTTTTTGTGAATTAAGAATGATTCTATTTTTTCTAAACCAAAAAAACAACGGAGCATGACCACAATTTCCTGCCATATGGTGGTTGAAATGATGCCCACCTTTTCATAAGACCTCTGTTTATGAGAAGGCAGCAAGTCATTTGCTTTGTTCATATAGCACTGTACAGAAAATTCTAATTTTATAGGAGAAATCAGGTCTTTATGTAACAGATACAAGTAATGTTATTGAGTTCTCAGGTTTTCTATAAATCTCTGATGTTCTCATTGGATAAATGATTTGTTGTTTGTGTTCTTTTCTTTTTCTTTTTAACAACTAGTGTCAAACTCTCTATTTCTGTACTTTTTCAAAGCCGTTAAATTAATGTCAATGTCCTGGCTGCTATATAACGGAGCCACAATATGTATCCCTCGTCATGGATAATTCTGTGCAGCACATTCAATATTCATCTCCATTAGCCTTCGGTGATGAGCAAAGGAGTGACAGTGAGTGTCCATCCATCAGATTGCAGTGCCTTGCAAAAGTGCATATATCTTTTGAATTTTTTCCAAAAAAAAAAATTAAGATTACAGCCACAAACTTCAATATATGTATCTATAATATCCAATGATTAAATGCTGTCCACCTGTGTGTGATTCAGTCTCGGTATAAGTCCAACAATTCTATGAAGGCCGCAAAGGTTTATTAAGTTAACACTAGCAAACAAACTGCCTCATGAAGACCAAGGAACAAAGCATATTGGTCAGGATGAGAAGCTTAAAGCAAAGTTGGTTTCATAAAAGCAATATTCAAAAGCTTTGCGAGCTTTGAAAATTTCATGGCTCACTATTCAACCCATTATCGTAAAACAGAAAGAGCAAGACACAGTTAGGCAAAGAGACCATTAATCAGAGAAGGATCCAAGGGTCCCATGGTAAATCTGGAGGAATTGCAGAGATCCATTTTCATTATTTTTGTGAACTGAGAGTCACTTTCCTTCCGCTTTACCTTCATGCAACACTTTGTGTTGCTACATAAAATTCACCTAAAACATATTGCAGTTTGTGGTTGTAATGTGCTCCAATGTGAAAAGATTCAAGGAGTGTGAGTACTTTTGCAGTGCACTGTACGTTGTCTACTGCTCCATTCTCTACAGCTTTACAGACTTTGGCCACCTGGTGTGACTCAGCAAAGGCAATCATCGGGTTACAGAAAAGCCGTGTAGAGGAAGCAAAAGTGTCCAGTTAAATGTTTTTTGAAAACCGTTTTCAATCGGTGATTACTTTTTTTGCATATGCTTTTTTTTTTTAACCTGTATGCCCAACGTAGCATAATCTGACTCAGTATTCAGAGATTTGCAAGACCTCATGGAGCCATCTTTGTGAAATGAATGATGCATCATTGGAGACTTGGATGTTTCTGGTTCCCTCCGATGTCAAATCCAGGCTCAGTGTTGGTTGTTTTTGTTGTTTTCTTTTATGAATGAAGGTTTGATGATAACCCTCATGTTGAAGCTCCTTAATTCTGTACCTATGCTTCCCCCCCCCCCTTCATCTCTTGTTCGTGGTAATCATGTGTCTGTGTTAGCCCTGAATAATCCTTCATTATAACAGAGTAGAGAAACAAATGGAGTTGGATTGATCGATTCTAGTGGAATAAAATTTCTGTGGAAAGGAATTCTGCAGGCTGACAGCGAAAAGACCATTCTCTGTCTTAGTGTCTCATAACAGCACATTGATTAGTGATGCCGTAGAGTGGAAATGATGTCTTTATTTTCTCTGAGAGAATGTTTATTGTCTGTGTCGATCACTTGTGCTTACCAAGTCGTTCTCCCCAAAAATGCATAAAGCAACATTGTTTTGTTCTTATGTATGTGTATATTATGCCTCTTACATTATTTTTTTTATTTGTTTTTCTCCGTTCAGCTTTGAGATGACATTATCATTAGACATATTCTGAGCTACAGACTGTTTCTGTACAAAGTAACATCTTTGTATGCATGTTGTAGTCCAAGCAATTGTGTGACCATAGAACAGTTTGTTACACGTTTGTCAACATTTCTGTAGAGCATTGTTCCCCATTACATCTACTAGCATTATGCAGAATAACAAATAAATGTGTATATATCTTATGTGTTTTGTGTCTGATTTTCTGTATCTAAGATGCATCTGCATATTAGGGATTGTTGCATCATTATACTGATACCAGATATTTACATACACTGTATAAAAATATGCATGACCTTTTTCCTTACTATCTTTAATTAAATGAAACTCAATGTTCTTGTTTTAGGTTAGCTGGATTACCACAGTTGTTTTTGGACAGCATTTTTTTTTGTTGTTGCTTTCTTCAAGTTTACACACACACACAACAATTAGTGTATTTAGGCTAAAACAATTTGAGAAAGCTGAGATGTCATGACTTTATAAGAAACGGATATGTGGCATAGTGCTGTTACTCATCCCAAACGCCAGTGGTCGCTGTAGTCCTTTGCGTTCAGTTGTTTTGGCTCATAAATGAGCGCGCGCGGAAACTCTTCTACGAAAGTGAAGAAAAAAATAAACAACAATGGAGTGTGAACTTAAACAGGATCTCGCTTCAGAGGCATCCAGTACAGATAATAGTGTCAGCTTTCCTCATGTTACCGCCGTCGCCTCAGGATGGATGCTGGACTTCATGTTTGTGAGTTTATGTCGAAGCTTCAAAGAAGGAAACTTTGATGCGTTTAACGAAACTCTGTCAGTTTTTGAAGGTGAGTAATCCAACAAAGTGACCAATAATCCAATGGAAAGTAGTTGCCTACGTGACAGCGCTCTGCTTGCACCTAGTCGGAAGAGTTTAGGACAGCTTCCTAGATTTCTACGTTACTTTTGAAGCGATTTCTGACTTTTTGAGACGACTTCACTCTAGGGAGTACTGTTTTTCCGCTGCGTGAAGTAACCGGAATAAGATTTACTATTATTTGTATATATATTAAAAAAAGAAAAGAAAAAATCTTTTTCGATGTAGTTTTTTGTTTGTTTGTTTTTTTGTAGATGTAACGTCGATATAAAATTGTGCTACACTCAAACTGGCTCGGTTAGGTGCAACAATCTTCAGCAATTTGTTCCTAAAACATGGTTGTAGAAAGTAACCGTTAGTAATTATACAAATACTTGGTTATCAGTATATGTTTATATACACAACATTTTTGTTTAAGAATTGCATTCTTATATAGACTCCGTCATCAATCCCATAATTGTAAATATTTTCTGTCTACCACTTTGCTTCTTTTTGTGCCAACACTCTTACACCTTGCACCTTTTCTCATTTTCAAACTCTGATGCGATCCAACATAGTTTTTTTTTTTAGAAAGTCCATATCTATTGAGGATGAATTTGATAATAATATTTGCAGAATAAAAAGTTATCTCTGGGTTTATTTGAGGGAAGCGTTATGCATTAAACTGCTTTTTTTGTTGAAATTGTGTGCTTTATTGTGTATAGCTGTGTAAAAGGTCTTTTTTTTTGGTGCTATAATGTTGGAAGATCTAAAAAAAAAAAACAGGTTCTATGAGTCAGCTAACTGTAGTGTGAATGTATATGTTTTTGTTTTTTCTTAGCTCTTTTTCAGAGTAAATATGTTAAAGCAGCTGGCCATGATGAAAAATCCTTGATATGTGCCTTTCTAGCAAGAGTAATGCACGGAAAGCAGCTGGGTGAGTTGCTCCAAACTTATGTTTAACTACTGCATCGCTGCTGTAAAGCAGAAGCACCCTGCAAATATTAGGATTGTCACTTACGCATGAGAAATATCTTGTAGATGAAGACACAGTTTCAGTTAACAAATGTTTGTTAAATAAGAAAGCAAGACTATGGTTTCAAAATTAAGCTTCTTTTTCTCCTCTTATGAATGTTCCCCACTTTCCCCAGATGTCCTGTTTGAAAAAGATGAACGTGTAATGCCTCTGATGTCTGCTGCCGTTGTTTGGTCAAGCCTGGAAAACGCAGTGGAAGATGAAGGCTTATTCAAAGAGATCACCGGTCTCCTGTTTGTCCAGGTAATTCCTCTGTCTTTTCAAGGGTTGCTTCCTGTTAAACTCATAATATTTGAGGACAACAATTGATTTTCTGGCTGGGTTCAGGCATAAAGGACACCCTTTTTTCCTTGTTTCTAGGCTGTGGCCGTCTGCCTGGAGAAAGGCCAGAGAGCTTCTGCCTCCTCGGTTCTCAAGTGGTTTGAAAAAAGACACACATACCCTCGGGTCTGTATGTCCAGTTGCTTTTCTTTGTCGCTTTTGATAACTGTTGGCTTTTATTATTATTATTATTATTATTCTTAACAACTTTTTCTGAACCAGAACTTGGGAATTAAGCTCTCGACTATCGTCACAAAAACTGATACTTACCACCCGGTCCTCATGAGCTTCAGCTTCAAGCGCCTCCTGGAGACCATAAACTCCTTCTTGGACAACTATTTGAAAAAGAATCCATGTGATTTCCTCATCAAGGTTAGATCTCATTATATGTCTTATTTGCTGCCAATTTCCCTTCTTCGTCCTTCCAGCATCTAAATCTTCCAGTGTGAAGTACATGTATGCACGGCAACTTTAAATGTTCAATAATTCTGATGTTTATGTGGGGAAATTGGCCTGAAAAAGAAACGTATAAATAATAAACTTGTTCAAAGGATGAAAATGATCTGAGCTAGGATATTAGGGTGTTGCAACTCTGGAGGATACAGACAGCTTTATCAAGATTTAGATTTTATTTTAATCAGTTCTAGTTCACTGGAGTGAAGGAAGCAATATTTCAGAAAAGCAGAGCACGTACTTTATTCTAATAGCAGGGAAGTATTTTATTTTTTGCAGCGATGCATGTGTGAAATTAATTTGAACAGAAAATAATGTAAGAGGCATAATATACAGAAAAAAACAGATGCAGAGGATGTGTCGATGAACCCGAAAAGCATGTCGTTTTTTTCATGGGTGGTTTTGATTTCAAAATGTAATTGGTAAACAGATCCTACACAAGAAAACCATTTCAGCTGTCGGTTTTTGTTTTGTCGTTATTTTTCTTATTTATTATTGTTATTAGGTTTTCCCACTATATAAAAACAGTAATATTAATGGGCCATTTTTTTCCCTAATGTTTGTGATTCCCATCAAAAAACTTTTATTTAATGCAGAATCATTAAAAAAAAAACCCCACAATTTAGCTGATAATAGGGTCCAACCTTTGAATGCAGCAGCAATTTTTTGTTTCCTGTATAAAGAAAATAGTAGACTAACATCAAAACTTGTGGAATAGTTCTTAACGCTAAAATGTTTTTCTTTTTATTTTATTTAAAGTTATTCCTATATTTCAAAGATTTTACCTTTTTCATAGTTTTTACTTTATAAATGTATTACAGATTTTAGAATTTAAGTGAATAATATTTTTGTGCATTAGTGACTTTTACTTGGAATCTTTTTGCAGCAATATTGGAGCAGATGGGCAGATTTCTAGAAAGTCACTAATGACATTTGGATACAGAATGATTTTGCCCACAAGTGTCAATGACTGCATGCATCTTAAAGAACATTTATGTTTCTCATTCAGACAGCTACAGGTTTTGTCCAATCTTCCCAAAACGTTATGGACTCGGAGTCTGTGGAGTTACAAGACAGCACTGTCTCGGAAAAGCAAAGTGAAACAACACAGAAGAACAAAAAGTATGAAAAATGATTTCTCACATACACTTGAGCTCCAAGTTATTCCGAATTAAAACATTAGAGGGAGCTAAAGTTTGGGGTAATGGCACGGAGACCTTTCAGGCTGAGAGTCATGGGTGGAGTTTTAAAAAAATAAATACAATCAAAGCACAAAAAAAACTTTTTTTAGCAACACAAAGTTTTTGATTGCTGTAACACCAAAGCTTGTCATCTTACAGAAAAAAGGTATGAATCATTTCTGATGTGCCACTTTTTGCTAAAATTGTCCCCTTTGGACTTGCCATATTATCTTTTGAGAGATGTCGGTCTTCTGGTTTCCTATCAGAAACAAACTAAACTCGCAGAAGTTTGTTTCTGTTTCTGTTACTTGTCTTGGATGAACAACAATAACTTTAAATCTGCAAGGGACATGAACCATTTTAAACTGTAGTTGTTTTGATTACAGTTTTTAGACAAATTTTCATGGTTAGGACATTATGCTGTTTTCGTTTTTTAATTTTTTCCCAAAACAAACAAAAGGGGGGCATTTTAGTCCTTCCAAGTGCCATTAAAAAATAATCTGTAAAATCTGTAACACTTCAACAGAACAAAACGCAAACTGCTCTCTACTAAACTTACCGAGGCATGGTCACCTGATACCACGAAGAAGCCCTGTGTTTCTCTCCGGCGTCTCTCCAGAAGTGGTAAGACGCATCCTACTTCTGTTTTTATCTGACTAACGATAATGACGATTGTGTAAAATGTTTCCAGACCTGTTATGAGCTTGACTAAAGCTAAAGACTTTTTAACCTCCCACCATCAGAGGTGTGTCACCTGACGGCGAGGAAGAGTTTAGAAACCTCCCCCCTGCAAAATAGTGAAAAGTGCACGGAAAAGAAAACACGAAAGGCAAGTTGAATTGCAAAACGGATTATATGTTTCAGATTAATTTATTCCAAATTGAAATTGTTTGCTTATTTAAGTTAAATTAATTTTTAGGAAAAGAAAAAAAAAACAGTGCTGAGTATGTGTTATGTCGTTTAGAAATGGACTGCCCAGCTGGACAAGTACCTTCAAGACGGGGTCAAACGTCACGGACAGGGGAACTGGTCTCGAATCTTACTGGATTATGACTTTGAGGGACGCACTGGCACCATGCTGAAAGACCGCTGGAGAGTTCTGCTAAAGGCACACAAAGTCAGCTGAAGAAAAGGCAGCCTCCAATCTCTTGTTTCAGCTGGGCTAATGGAGCAGTTTGTACATAAAATTACCCACTGATGAAAACATTATTTTTTTTTAATTTATGTAAGAAAAATTATATTTTGTTTGCATGTTTTTGTTCCACATTAGTGTTGTAAATTTGTAAAATTGTAAAGCTATTTGGCTGTACCGCTTCTCCAATTTCAATTTATATCACAAGAGGGCGCCAGAGACAAAAATATTATCTACAGGCTGTCCTGTAATAACCTAAAATATTTTTATTTAAGTTAGTTTTACAAATTAAATTTGAAAGTATATAGTTGCTTTTTTTAAAAATCATTTGATGTTGTTTTTTGCAGACATATTTTGAAATAATAAATAATTGTTTTTTTGTTTTTTTTTTAAACTGTACTGATCTTTAATTTCTACCATAAGTGCATTTTGAGTTTGCGGTGATCCTTGCAGCTCTCAGAGGACATCCAGTGGCGTTCTGCAAGCTTTATTTCAGCAGACTGGAGGTCAGGTGAAGATGAAGATATGTTGTGTTGGACAGGTGCACTGGGGAGTTTTCTGGACCTTCTTCCATGTCCCTCTGCAGTGTGGGTTCCCCACTGCCTGCCACTGAAGCACAGCTTCTCTGAAACACAGCAACATTGCAGTAGAAGATTTGAGTCATGTTTCTTTCCATCTACTATTTTTTTTTTGTCAGAAATGTATGTGAATTTATCGGCATAAGTCTAAAACAGTTGTTGGCTTTTATGGTGTCTTCTTAGCAACTTAGCCTTACATCGACATGAGCTGAGACTCCCAAATTGATGTCTTTGGGCGTGACTGAAATTTGTCCACCTGAATGAGCTAAAAGCCTTCTAGAGAGGAGAATGGACAATATATGTTTGTATTCTACTTGACCTTTTGTGGATTAGAAAACATGCAATAAAGTCAAATCACAGTTTTTGAGTATACTCTTGAATAGTTCAAATGCATTATTTAAGTGTCACAACTGATAACTTCCTACTTGTCCGATTCTTGGCCGTCACCCTGACAGCTACTGTTTCGCAGGGCAGGAGGATCGCACGCTACACACACTTTGAATCCTTCAGTTATGTAGCGCATCCAGATGGTGTGAGGCCGGTTCTCCACCGTGCAGTGTGCTGTCCGGGACTCCATTTTAAATTCCATACAGAACCTGATGGGTGGCGGCGGCGGCGGCGGCGGGGGGGGAAATAACAGAAAAGTCATGAAAGTCACATGAAAAATAATCTCAATATGTTGACAGAACAAAAAAGAAAGCTGTGGGTTTCATTCTTGGAAAGTTTATGTCACTTTGCCAATGTACAGTTGTGATTTCTGTATTCCCCTTTTCACTTAGAAAGCCCTCTTAGTGTGTGTGGACCTTTCTGTGACATTTGCGAGGATTTCATTTCAAAGGATTGTGGGCTGTCTCTGAGCACTGCTGTATAATCATGTTTACAGCCAGCCAGGTGGGCAAACAAAGGTAACTCACTTAGATGCAACAAAGCAGGCTTAGACTTATATATTATAGGGTAAAATTTTACCTGCATGAAAGCATTTCTTTTGTCTTTTTTTTTTGTTTTTACGTCATGTGTCTTGCTTTCAGTCATGAGCAGTTTGAGATAATGTGAAACTTACCCTGGGTCCAGGGGGTTTCCATAGCCGTCGTGCTTGGGTCTTCCTTTACCAAATTCCAGGCTGGTGATGAATGCTGGGCCTCATAAGAGAAAACGGTTCAAGTTTTTAAAATATTTTACCCATTGATGGAAAACTATGGAGATCCTGTCAGAACTTAAGCTCAAGTTCAAGATGATTTGTATAGCACATTTCAGCAGCTAGGCAGTTCAAGGTGCTTTACATCATAGAAATACAAAATCATAGAAGGCACAGTCAACAACTGAAGCAACTTACAATTACATTCTAATTAATTACAATTAATTAGAATGTTTAGAAGTTTGATACTTCAGGGTATCATTGGAGACTCCAACATGAAAATGATCCAAAACAAATATCCAGAGTAGCTTTGGGATCTATGCAATTTTGGGTCTATGTTTTGGACCATTTCCTTGTTTCTATAATTGATTGCTTCCTTTCAACTTTCTAAGGGATATTACATTAAAAAAAATAGTGAGGAAGATCTAAAATAAATTCAAATGTAATTATTGTTTTTCAAATCATTCAAGACTGTATTGTCAGTCATTCTGGAAAAAGGGTGGTTCAAAGACATAAAGGAATCCAAATTTACCATCTTTCAGTCAGACGTGGATGTAAACCTCTAAGTGGAACTATATACATTCTAACAAAAATAGCTGCAGATACTATATTATGTTTCTTATACCTGAATTGTGTCCACATTGGCTGCCT